CGGTGGGGTCGTGTACCCGGGCGTTTACACGCCCGGGTACAAATGGCTTTGGCCATAAGAGAAACCCATCACCCGTTTCTAGAATTAAAGTAGAAGGAACCAATGATTGTTGAGTTGCCACAATTTCTCCTCCTCCGCCTCACTTCTAGTTGGATGCTGGTATAGAGACTTCGTAGCCTCGAAAGGGATGCAGAAAGTGCTCTACTCACGACCTCGAAATAAAACTAACGGTCACGAGTTGAACATTGGTTAAGCAATTTTCTCGAACACAAAACTGAACAAAACTGCATGGAAAGTTTATAACACGTCTCTCTGTTTTAATATTATGTTATCATGTCCAACTTGTCCTACTAGAAGTTCGACTTGTGCGAAGGAGGGTTATTCATGTTAACACAATTGCATAATAGAAGAAGAATCAAAGAAGAAAATTAATCAGTTGGAACAAATTTCAAGACTTTCAATGAGTCCCCATAATTACTTTTTTTTTTAAATGAAATTATTTGAGGACAAAAACAAGTTGAGCTTGCAAACTTCGTGAACTAGTGAGGCCATCAGTTTAAGCCCATCAGTCGAACTTCTAATAATGTTTTTTTTAAGCTTATAATTATATTATTAATGAAAGATCAATGGTAGTATTAATATAATTTTCACCTTTTTATTATTTGATGAGGACAATTATTTTGAATTAAATGTAAAGAATGAAGCATTATTATATTATACATGAATTTTACTTGTGTATTTATTGAAATGTGTGGTTAAAAATAAAATTTGATTAATATAAATAATTTTAAAATTTTACCAATAGGATTTGTCTCTATCAAAAAAGAAAATAATAATAAATTAAAAAAAAGAGGAAAATCTGCTGAATTCTGAACCATTTGTTTCAGATTTTTATTTTCTTTGAGAATTTTGAATTCATTCTTTTACTCCACACCATTTTTTATCAATTTGACGTTTGCCGGCATTTATGGTATACTCAGGGGTGGACCCGGGGATGAAGATCATAATTTTAAATATTGACTCTTTAAAATAGAGAGTATATCATATTTAAAGAGTCTCTTGGAGATATTCTTAGTACCTAAAATTGCATTTTTTTCCTATCAAATTGTATATATAGAATTTGTTTGAACTCATTATATCCAATTTGATTTATATTCAACGAAATGTGTTTATTTGATTGATTATTAATATTAAATATTAGTTATATGTTTTT